TCACTAAAAATACCGATCATAAGAATTTAAGAATTCACTTACGTCAGCACACAAAAGCCTGAAGGGGCTCAGCAGGCTTGCAAACTTCTTTAAAATACGTCAGAATATACAGCTATGTGAATGCTGTAGGTAAGCTATGACCCAGATGCTACAATCATTCTGTCTTAGTCAGCCCGGGCTGCTATAACAAAATGCCACAGACTGCGTGGCTTAAAGAGCAAGCATTTGTTTCTCACAGTTCTGGAGGCTGGAAATAGAGGTCAGGCTGCCAGCAGTGTCAGGTTCCCATGAGAGCCCTCTTCCGGGATGCAGACTGCCTACTTCTCTTTGTATCCTCACATGACAGAAAGGCTACAAAGAGAGGTGGAGACCCACCCCAGCCCCTCCATCCACCCCGAGTGCTCTGGCTAAGCGAACCCAAACTATTGTAGAATGCAGACCTGGGGGAGGAGGGAGAACAAACAGTGAATGGCCTGAGAGTCAAAAACAACTTTCAAAGAGTGACATTCCTGCACATGTGAGAGCTGGGCTGAGAATCACAGTAGCTACACATTTCTAAGCCACATGTCCTGGAAGAAACCTGAACAGAATTACTGTGAATAATAATCAAGCAGCAAGGCAAACATGCTGAGAAAGAAAACGCTGCTTCCAGGCTATAAACCCACGAACAAACTTCTCCTTAGATCGTAAGGCTCTTTTCTTTCTTCTTGGACTTTGTCTACATTAAAGGTGAGGTTCCATCTTCTGATGATTTCAACAGCGATATCATCATCCAATTCACCCCATCTCAGCTGAACGCCTCACTCTTTCAGCTCAATTCTCAGTAAACAAAATACAAATAAATCAAGCAGTCTTGTGCAGTGCAAGATGCGTGATATTTGAAGTCAGCCACATCTGGGTTCCAGTCCCAGCCTGACTCCGTACTGTGAGCTGCATGACCCTCAATTTACTCAGCTACAGAATGTGGTCTCACATTCATGAGGGGGTTGTATTACATGAAATGCTTGTGATAAAGCTCTTTTTTAATGCTACAAACTGCACTTAGCTGCTAATTATCTAAAAAGTCTCCCTCGCCTCAATGCCTACACTGTCAGTACTAAGTAGCTAAACGATTGGTACCTGTCTGTAAAATTAGCTTTTAAAAAGACTGAATTAGGTGCCTCTCTGGCACTCTACTTCAGCCTTGACGACAGATAACATTTATCAAGCTCTGGCTAGGTCCAGGTACTGTGGAAGTGCTACAGTGAAAGAACGCAGGAGGTACTGCTGTTATTCAACCTACTTCACAGATGAAGAAACCGAGTCCCTGAGAGGCTAAGTAACGTGCCTAGAGCAGGCAGTCTGCAGAGCCCGTGTTCTTTACCACCACAATAAGTAGCAGTCATCCTGCACCTTTCTTGTCTGTTTCTGCCATTAGCCATTGAGATCAAGGCGTGCCTGGAAAAGCAGGAGCTGAGAAGCATTTACTAAATGAGGTGTCTGGTGCAGCGTGCCTGCATACAACCAGCCCCACTCTGTTGACGGCATGAGCAGAGCCCAGGAGCCACTTGTGGGAAAGAGGATATTGAGAGGTCATCATTAGTGATGGATGAGATAATTGATGCATAGCCATGGGATTTGTGCTTTTTCAACAGATTGCAAAATCTCACAGGTTTGTCTTATGGGCTCATTATGGTGCCACGAGAATTAAAAGTGACTGCCAAAACAAACAAACAAGTAACAGAGGAAAAAAAAAAACTGATCTTTAACCCAATCTACCTGATGACCTCGGTGTGGACTGACAACTCTGGTCTCAAAGGAATTTCAAAAATCTGGCCCAGGCCCCAGTTATCTGATAACTGAAAACCCATAAAGAGATAAAGGAGATTACAACGCCTAGTGGGGAGTGCTAGTGGGGAGTGCTAGTGGGGAGTGCCGGTGTTTTTTATTTGGGGTAGAAAAGTGGAGGAGGGTCTCAGGCCTTTCTGGTGGAGGAGGGTCTCAGGCCTTTCTGCTCCACCTGGGGCTTACAGGAGTCCTACTTAATAGCCAGAGAGGTACAAGACATGTTTTGGGCTGCAGAGATGCAAACTCATTAGGGAACAGGCAGGTGACATCAATGAGTGAAGCAGGTTCGGTGGGTGCTGGGGCCAGGGCCAGAAGGTCCTCAGCTGCAGCCCCTATTGCCTCTCAGGCCGGTCGTTGCCAGAACGTAGATTTCCCAGTAGTTAAAATCCTGACATGTATATGAAAGCTCTCATCTTACATTAGCAAGAAAGTCCAAGGCAATTTAAATCATGAGGGGGGGTCTAAATGCCTCTGCAAGGCTGGATTTGGTCTGGAAGCATCCAGTTTGCCTTCTCTGAATTACACACTGAAAAGAATCGGAAGAAGTCATGAGTCACACTAGCCACTACCAGATGGAGTCAGAATGTGGTAGAACTGAGAGGGAAGCAGGTGAGGGGACTGGTGGTCCTGCTGCTGTGCTGGAGAGAGGTGTCCCGTTTGGGGCAGTCCTACACCTGGCTGGCTGCACAGCTCCTTTTTCAGTTGTACCCGTCTGTGGCATTGGTGCCACCTAGTGGACTTCCCAGGAAGCGCCCGATGTTTAGACCTCCACGTTGAGTCCTACAAAGGCTTGGGTGGAGGACCAGAGCGACAAGTAAATTCCAGAGCCAAAGCAAATCACCATAAATGAAATAGAATCAGTGTTTTGATAAGCATAATAAACTCAAAGCTGCAGTGGGATTCCAGGGTAAGAGAGAAGTCAGCGGGGCTCTGTCTTGCTGTTTCCTTAGGCCACCCACTCAGGCTTGACTAAGCCTGCAGTCTGACCTGAGTTCTGCGCCCCCCTTGGTGGGAAGGCCCCCCAGAGCGGGGATGGGGGGATGGAGTGGGGTGGGGGTTGGAAATAACGGAAGTCGTGATTGAAGTCATCATCTGGACAATGCCAGCCTTATTTCTTTAAAGCCTCAGGTGAAATTAGGCAGGTAGGAGTCACAAATTAATGTTTGTGGCTGAGTTTATCCTGTTTCATGAGGACAGCATCTGTGTTTATAGTGTTTAAAATCCATTATATTGTGTGCTCATCAAGCTATTTGAATATTTCCCCTTCATTTTTAAGATCACGTCCCATCCCTTTATTTTTGGAAAAGGTCAAACTTTGTTTCTACTGTTTATAAACTATGCTGCATCTTACCAAAACTGTTTTCCTAAAACTCATTTGCTTGAGGAAATCTAGCCCTGCTTTTCTGAAAGTACCCCTCCCACACGAGGGCATCGATTTACTCAGTAGGTATTGGCGAGTAACTAACTGCCTTTCTGCCTCTACGCAGTCTCCACGGGCCTGTGTTTGGTGTCCTCATGGAAAGTTTCTTGAACCATGGGGGATGGGTGCTGTTTTCTCTGCTTTTCCTTGAAGGGCCGAAGGAGGCCCTGTACACAGATGTGGGTTATGGACACTCAGCTTCCCTTTTCTTAACACTCTGAATCTTCACGTCCAGTGGCCAGCATTTTCGCCCATTGATACTGCTGTAATAGCAGGGGAGAAATAATCTGGCGTAATATTCAGCTTTGAATACTTGCTTCATGACCGTATGCTGAGAATATTACTAAGTGCAATGGAATGTTTTGTCTTGGATTTGGGTGTTACCTCTGTGTACCGAAGGAGAAGTTCCAGATCTCTGGAAAATCGTTGGAAATACAAAGCACTCACTCGAGCACAAACAGAAGAGCTGGGATTTCTAGGTCTTCACTCCATCACTAACTTCCACCTTCAGAAAGGGCACTTTTGTCTCACATTTGAGATTTTCCAATTGTAAGATCAGAAGGGTCTGAAAGGGCGGTAAAGGGACCATTAGATGTAACACCAGCCAAGTATGTGGAGTGGAGCACCAGCTTTGTCCATTATCTTCCCAGCCTTAAACATCCATAGCTCTGAATGAAAGATGCCCCTGGTGTTATACGGAAAGGCACTTAAAGAGGAGTGGCGATGTAGTGTTATCAGATACAGCCCCATACTGCAGGCAAGCAGATGGGGGCGAGGAGGGAGAGGAATACAGCTGCACTAAGGGGAGTTGGGTGGTGCAGAGGGCATTCCGAGGATAGGTAAAAGTGGCAACTCCCCAGACGCCCTGCAGACTCCACTAGGCAGAAACCCAAGAAAGAAGTTATCCCTGCGTGTCTGCAAGAACAGTGAGGTCAGTGGGGGATGGAGGAGACACAGGGGAATTTCTAGAGTCCTGTGGGATTAAGAACCCTATTGGGGGAGTCACTTAACAGGGAATGTCTTAGTCTGGACGTTCCCAATGAGCAGCATTAATCTTACTGCTGACAACTCAGGTCATAATGAAACTGGAAAACAGCCTTCAGTGACTTTGAGAGAGAACTACAGAGAAAATAAATGGCTATTAAGCCACTGCCTTTTGCATTACCCATCACTCCCAGAAAGCAAGCTAAGGTCTATCAGCAGCTGGGACCAGGGCCCGGCGATTCACTTAAGTGCTGACTCTCCCAACCCTTTCCCAGGTTCTGCCTCACCTCACAAGGGCAGTTGTGGCCCAGTCCTCCCAGGACAGTTACAGAGAGTTACCAGAATCAGATGGGAGCCAGGAAAAGCGGCAGGATTAAAGCTCTCAGAGACCCCGAGACCCTCTCATCTCCACATGGCACTGTGGAGATGGCACTGAGGGTTTCTGGCATCTGCCATGCCAAGAGATGCCCCCTCACAGCCGAGAGCGAGTAGCTGGCAATAGCCGAGGGCCAGACTCTTAGGCCTCATCATGGTAGCAGTGGGCTGAGGCTTCTAGTTTATAAGAGAGTTGCAGGGGTGACCCAAAAAGACAAAGGGCCATGATTACTTGTGTTGCAGTAACACAGATGCACATGTAGGTTACCTTCCAGGTTAGGATTTATATTTTACACCATTCCCAATTGTTGCCAACAGACTTCTGACATGAGACAGGTGTATGCCATTCTGAGGACTCTGGGCTATAAATAAGTCAAAACGGCCAGAGAATTTAGGTCAAGGTGAGTTTATTGTCCAAATAGCATAACCTAATTGCATCCAAAACCATTTCCAAATCCATCTTTAAGCTAGTCAAAATAACAGGTTATTACTTTTTAAAAAACCACTTAACACTGAACAGATAGGACCTCTTAAAAGGCAGCTGACTATACCATGTCACCATCGTAGCCAATAAAACATTTTTTCCATACTTCCTAAAAACCTTTTGTTTACATTGATCATGCTACTTTAGCACTTGCTAGCATCCCGACCAATTAAACACCCACACCTCTTATAGAGTACATTGTGAGAACTACATTGACTTGATATGGCATCACACTCGTTTAAAGCAAAAAAAAAAAAAAATTATAATAATAATATAAGAAGTCCAAGACGAGAAACTGTAACTGAGAGATCTGAGGTACATGGTACAAGGGTAATGAACATAATGGAAAAAATCCAATGGTCTGGGGGATTGCTGGGGATTGAAGAGTTGGCCAGCAATAAGAACTAAAGCCCATTACAAAAACAAAACTTTTTTTTTCTTAGGACAGGAACCTGTCAAAATACACTGGATACTGTAATGGCTACAGTCAGTAAGGCACTTTTTCCCCCAAAGTAGGCTGCAGGCAAAGAATAAATGTTGCAGCTACAACATGCATGGATACATTTGTCATGGCTTCTTGAAACCTGAGCCAAGAATCAGGTCTGATAGCCCAGGCAAGTCTAAAAGCAGAAATATACTAATGTAGAATAGTTCGGGCTGAAATGACTATTCTGGGTTCAGAATTCATAATCGTGAAAAGCCATGTGGTGTGAGAAGTCATAAACATCCTCGAGTCTTCCTGCCCCGTTTTGTACAAATGGATGCCATGAGCAGCTCTTGAAAACTGCTCCAAGCCCACACCAGTAGAAGCCTGCTCTCATTCTATAGCTAAGAGTCTGTTGGCTTAAGGGGACTTTACTGTCTCAGCATTAATTTCCCTTTTAAAGCTATTCTCAGGGTTGGACTGTCTCAAAGATAAACAAAGAGGAATCCTTTTGGCTTAGAAGCCAACTGGCTTACTCAGACTTCCTCCCCATTCCTACCTCCCATTCCCACACTACCAATATCATCTTCTTGAACTAGAAAACCATTATTTACATGATATAAGGTGCAAGTCTATTTCTTCTCCCAGCCCTGCTCCCTGTGGCCCATGGAGAGAAAATTCCCCTGCCCTCTTTGAGAAAAGTCATCCAATCCTGCTTCTTGTTTTTAACCTGTCAGTCCTAGAGCTCCCAGGGCAGCATGGAGAGACCCTCAGGGGGCTGGACCTCAGGAAAGCTCCAACTCCCTCTGAAGAAAAGCCCACCCTGCTAGCAAAGGGATGCAGTGTGATGCAGTCAGGTTCTTTCCTCCTCCAGCCTTGTCACTTAAGCTCCTGCAGGTCTCTGAGCCATGCGTCCCCAACTTGGCTGATATGAGGCAGCACAGAGCCTCTTGTACAAAGCTCGCAGACCAAAGGGGACTTGGCAGTTAGACATGGCGAGCTCTTCAGCGGGGTCCTGGGACAGGTCCCCGATAAAGCCTCCTCAAAGAGCAGCCCCTTCTCTGAGGAGCTGTCCTCTCAGCACCTGGGAGACATTCTGCTGGGATCTGTCCCCTGCTTCCTTCCACCTACAGGCTTCTTGGCTGTTAGGAACCCGCATGGAATTGAATTATGCTTAGCATATATTTTTTGGCATACTAGGATTCTTCCCCCTAGGATTTGGCCAAAATAGGGGAAGGAACAAAATTTGGCAGGCTAGGGGAACAACGTAGCTCCCACTGATGGAGAAAAACAGAAAAACACAGAGGAGGAAGTAAAGATTTAAAAAACAAACAAAAAAAGGTAGAAAAAGACCAGGATACATTTGGAACCCCTTTAGGAGAGAAAGAAAAAACTCACGAGGAGAGCTGAACTCCTCTAGGACAAAATCTACCAAGGAAACCAAGATCCAAGGAGAGGTTATCAGCCACGTAAGCAATCTGGGGTTCCTTCTGTTTAAGGAGGGAACAGGCAGAAAAATCCAGACAAACTAGCACCTTCCCCACTATCCCACTAGACCCCGAGGATGGGTAGGAGAAAAAGCTAGAAGGCCCCAGTGGCACCCAGCAAAAGTGGGAAGTCACAGATGGCAGTGAGTCTACTGGCCCTGTTGCCTTATGTGTCAGGTTCTTTCATTTGCTGCTTCTGTTTGAGCTTAAGGGCCTATCCCTATGGAATGAGTTTGTACCTCATTTTGTCTTTAGGCTCCGAGACCCCCAAGAACTCTAGGAACCATGGCTTCTTTATATTCTATGGAATATCCCAGGGCCCAGAAGAGTGTCATGTGCAAAGTGGGCTCTTGATAAAATACCGCCTGTTCAACCTTCTTCTCCAAAACTTCAAAATTCACCACCCACTACCCCACCTGAAACTCCCTAGCATTTAGGGTCATGCTAACTCACCAAGTCCTGAGCCCTTCTAAACACCCTACGGGAGACACTGACTCATCTGGACTCACATCTCCGTGAAGAAGCAGCCTCATCACCTCCCTTCAACTACCATCCAGTAATCATCTGACCTAAATCTCCTATCCGTGCCAGTTCAATGCAATTTAAGCCTAGAAACCATTTAGTGCCGCTTAGCAGAGGGCCTGGCCAACGGTGCCTCCTGCCGCAGTTGGGAGACTGCAGGTTCAGACGGAAAAACCTCTGCAATCATCCTAAACCAGGATGCCCATGTCAGGGAAGGGAAGGGGAGGGCGAGGTCCTTCCAAGGTGAGAGGACCCTAAGTGATGAAAGCCCTGCTTTAGAAAAGGTTGCAAGATGAGGGTCTCCAAGTAGCCTGCTGGAACTCTTTAGTCTGTCTCCTGATATCTAAGTGCAAATTATGACTTCCTTGCCCCCTTCATAAGTGTCTGTGCTGAATGTCTGCCTTGGGGAGAGGGGAAATCCCTTGGTTCAGTTGTATTTTTTCCATCATGATGAGGGTACCGGAGTCAAAATGGAAGCCTGATGACCTCTGTGACTGAAAAGGTCTCTGGGGTGAGACCCTGGGCCAAACCCACCTCACCGTCCACTTGAGAGGGCATGCAGCCTCCTTCACCTTTCTACATACTCACAGGCTCCCAAGCAGAAAACTGTGTGGTTGTGAGGTATAATGAAAACAAAAATGTGAATCATTTTCTTTTGTAGCTATTGACTTTGTCCAGTAAACCTGAGGTAAAGAATACTCTGTCTTTGAAGAATGTAACCAGAGAGGAAAAAAAAAAAACCCAAAAAGGAAAAAAACAACCATGAATACGCTACCAGAAGAAAACAAACTATGGAGGGCTTTTCCAGTACGAAGAACTCATATCTCAACCATCTACTTTGGGACTTGGTATTTAAGCAGTAAAATAATATATTATAAAAATGTTTATAAAATAGCAGCACACTCTGTGAAAAACATTACAGCTAGGTACTGTTAATGTGAATAAGGATGAATGATCTTAGCTTCTTAGCAGCGCAAAAAAAAAATAATAAAAAAAAAACTGAACATAATAAAATGAAAAATAAGAGACCCTTAGATTTTTCTCCATCTTCAACCCTCATACTATGAAACAAGGCAGAATCCATGTATAAAATAATTCTTCAAAGTAGCCCTGTTCTGATTTTTCTTTTTTACTTAAAAGGCAAACATTTTAACAAATAGCTTCATTACCTGTCAATTATAATTGTGCAAAAAAAAAAAAATGTTGTTGCTCCAACCTCTTTGCAAACTGTATGTGTCTAAGAAGTGGAGAGGAAAAAAATTCAAGTACACTGAATACAACTTTGCAATGAAATTAACAAAAAACGGAAAGGGAACAGAATGCCACACTGATGTTCAGCTATCTTTGCACCAGCGGTAACCTTTCTTTCCATGTCCAAAGGAGAAGTATATCGGTGGGAATTAAGATCCTTCTGTGCCATCAAAAATGATAACAGATCTTTGTTTTTAGGCTTTTCTGAGGAATGTTGTGATGGGAATGTCAGCAGAAAGGGGTGTCTCTTGAGTCCTAGTAGGGAATACCAGAACTATGTACCAGAGAAATGTCAGATACGGAAGTGAATAGTACCCAGACTGAGGGTGTGTGGGGGGAGGGGCACCAGAGAAGGGAGGGGTCTACTCAGCATGATTTGCATAAACCATCCCATCTACCCCTCGGGAACAATTTTTCAAAGTGCTTTTCGAATGGAATGGTTTATAACAATGCAAACTGTGGACCAGACATACCAATCAGCACCAGAAATTAGTTTTTTCCTAATAAGGGATGCCACGGTCACATTACACTCTTTAATATGTTAGGAGAAAAGGTTCCATTCCAGATCCCACCCCTGGTTTCATCTGCCTCCAATTTCAAATGAGTTTTGGCAATGAGTCAAAGCTAGATTGCCACTTTAAGTGAAAATATGGCGGTGTCTACCATGAACCATGTTTGGAAGAAGCAAGATGTCAAAAAACATGGAACCCAGGATTCAATCACCTGTGTCCAGCCTGTATTTTAGGTAGCAGCTACTGCAGACAGCAAGAGTTCGTAACTAGAGATCCAGCAATGCTCCTGACTTACAAGTAACAGGTGGTCGAGAGCAAAGGTGCTTCTACATCCAAAATGGTTCAGTCACGTTGACAGATTGCTTTGTCCCCTCTCCCCATTGTGTCACTCCTTATTTCTAATTCCTTCTTGAGTTCATTGCTTTGCAATCTAATCATGCCATAAATGGCACACGCAGTTCCTTGCAATTATCCTAAAAGGGGTGTATATGTGCTAGTTTATAACATGAAAAAAAAGTCTCCTCTAATTTGTTCCCATATTGCAGGCGTACATTTTCTCTAGCTACTCTGCAGGTTTTCCTGTAAGCATCTTACTATTGCTTTTAACATAATCAAATAATAACTGTCCGCATACACAAAGGGATTCCCTTCTGTTGTATTCTGAATAGGCACCAAATGCTTTTAATTATTCCATTTTCATAGGACCTTTTTCTCTCACTTCTAAAAGACCTTTCAATATGATCTAGATGGGGACAGAATTTTTTTTTCTTTTTCTTTTTTTTTTTTTTTTAAAGTTTCATCCTAAAACATAAAGAACAAAACATAACCAAAGAGAAGGAGAGAGCACATTTGAACACGTCTCTCCCTTTCGGCCTGACTGACATCCTCACAGGTCAATATCCCGCACATCTGTAGGGGTGCTGGCTTGGTCCAGTTCATCCTCCGACTTGGATCCATCACCCTGGTCCTGACGGAACTGCTGCAGGCTGTTCAGCAGCACCACCTCAATCTGCTCCTGGCAGGCCTTGAGGCAATCCTGGAAGGAGAATGGTCCAGACCAGAGAGCTGTTAGCAACATCAGCAGGGTATAGAGCACTTCATGAAGAAAACACACACAGTTCAACCTTCATATAATTCCATGCTAGTTTTCTGGTAGAGATCAATGTGAAGTACAGGAGACGTGTCCTGGAAGTGCCATGCAATCTCCCTACTCTAAGTCCATGCTTCAGCGTTGCCTGGGAGCATTTTAGAAATGCAGCATCGTATGCACAGGAGCATCTGAGAAGCACGAACATAGAGGACGGGCCATGGATGGGCTTGCAGTGCCTGTAATTTGAGGGCCACTAGATGCTTTCTGCTTGGGAGATGACAGGGCAAGGGGAAGGCCAGTACTACTGACAGAGCTATGACACTATACAAACGTAGCACCTGAGAACAGATGAGAAAGAAGGGAATGGACTGAGCTGTACTGACCCTCACATACATATAAGCGGTCCGAGTGCTTAAAAACAAAAATCTCGGTTTTTCTGCTTATTTGCCAATCCCTTAACTCTCATAAAAACACAATACAAAATGTTTACAAAATTCTGGACACTTGAGCTGTCCAATTTGGGTATAAGCAAGAATGTGCAGTACTGCTCTGATATTAGTCTATATTTGGTAGAGAAAATTCAGTGTGTGTTTGCCCCAGGCAGAAGCATCTGAGTGGGCTGACACGGAATGCAATGGTGAAGTCAGGGTGTCACTAGGGAGAGACCGGGGTTCCTGCTAGCCAGAGGGTGTGAGCTGAAGAAAGCGCATAGTGGATATGCTCCATCCTGTCTCCTCTGCAAGGCTGCTTTTCTGCACTCTCTTCAGCAGCATATACATATGGAAAATATGTTAAATTGATTCTGCCTGGGTCTTTCCACAGTTTAATAGATGCTTCCCATTTGTTTCACTGTGTAATTTTCACTGCCCAGGGGTCACTGTTTGCCAAGCACAAAAGCATTATCTTTACTTTCCAAAGCTCTAAAATAAAGTTGGGAGTTAAGTACTCAGGAACAAAGTTTCCATACCCCTAAATTTTCCTTTCCTATCTCTCGTCCACTCCACTACACATTTCAAACTACAGGTTTTTATGAAAATTAAAACAACAGCAGACGAGTGCTACGGGCAGCGATCAGATATCACCCAGAACATAAGAACGAAAAGAGGAAGGGTGGTTATTTGCTCCCCTCCCACCATACCTGCGGGCAGCACCTACGTTATTTAACTTCTCTGATCTCAGTTTCCCCACTTGTAAAATAAGGATAATGAAACGCTCGTAAAGATCAGCTGAGATAATATGTATGAAGTGCTAAAGTGGCAGTTCAATAAATGATAAGTATTAATTATGAATAACAATAAATCAGTCCAGGAACCTAAAAGACTTCTTTAGATTTCTTTAGATTTTGGTATGCATTAGCATTTGCTCAAGATGGGTGAAGGGGCACTTTGTGACTCGCACTTGGGATAGAGGGTTACAGAGGTCCCCGTGCCACTCTGAACAAGCAGAGGAGAGAGGGACTGGCAACCAAGGACCCACAGACACCTCTCAGCTTTCCTGTGGCTTCTCCTGGTCATGCCCTCTACCCTGCCTGACCCCGCCCCCGCCCCCCAGCGATTAGAAAGCTGACCAGCCTCTCCTGCCTCCCTGGCTCAGGTCTTCTCCATGCTCCCCCTCCAAGGCCATACTGCAGCACTGGTGCTCCTAGGTCACTCAGCACTTGCCAAAAGGTTTAGGTGGTGAAGCCAAAAGGCATAGCGTTTCAAAGGGCACTTGCATTTTAGTAGAAGCTATTTGAAAACCTTAAAGCATTACAATCTAAAAAATATATAAATTTAAAATCGAAGCTAATGTGGGGTTAACATGTCCCTTAGAAAGGACCTGCATCAGAGATGGACAGTTAGTGGGACTCTGTCAGTTGTCCTTCTAAAGCTGAGATAGCTCACTCTGCATTTGAGCACCATCTCAAGGAGCTGCCTTGTCCTTAGGGGCCACATGGTAGGCAGAACACCCATCTTCAAACGTTTAGAATCCTCCCGGTGTGGCGAGGTGCTCCTCATGAGAAGTGGGAAGAGCCAAAACTCAGAAGAGCAGCACCCTCCCTCCCCCAACCCCCCATCCCTCACTGAGAAATGCGGGGCCACAGAATTTGAGCTAATAGTTTTCTTCTTCCTATTTTATTGCAGAGAGCGAGTTGAATCCAGGCAGCTACTGTATGATGCCCCGCCACGCAGAAGTGCTTTAGGAGCTACAGGAGGGTATATGCTTAACATTTTGTTTCTAGGAGGCAGGCGGGATGGATCAGAACCCCTCTAAACCACACAGATAGTAACTGTGGCCTCCAAGAAAGGCAAATCCTACCCAAAGCATACAGCACAAAAGAGCTTTTGGTATGTAAAAAGGACAGCAGGATTCTCACTTACCGAGGGACCTGTGTGCATGCACATAATGTGTATGTATGGTGTGTGTATAGACAAACAATAGTTCTGCACCATTCAATTCAAATGAAATGCCTGTTAGGTGTCAGCGATGAGGTCTCTTTCAAGAGGGCTTCACCGGGTACAGCCACTTGGTGAAGACCTTGTCTCCAATAAGACAACCAGTGTCTCCCGGCCAATCCTGGCCGGCTTTCCTTCCTCAGAGGCTCCATCTTGGCCCCATGGAGAAGTAATCTGGTCAGCACACCCCCTACACCAATAATATGACGATCACTGCGTTAGCCACACCAGCATTCCTGAGATAGATGGTCCTCCAAGTGGGGAGACAGGGCTCCAGAAAGCTAAAGAACTTGACTTCAGGGTGTGCAGAGTCTGCCCTTTTGGGTCACCAATGTCCCTACTTTTCCGGGTATCTTCCCCCTCCAGAAGCCTGAGCCCTTCAAGGAACATTCCTGAGGAAATCCTACAGAGGGGGCTGGGACATTTGGCAGTTGCTTCCGGACTTCCAGAGCCACGGGACTTCACATAACACATGCAGCAAGTGTCACATCTATCTAAGTTCTAGCCAGGAACATGTGCACAGGCTTTTCTGAATAAAATGAAGGAAGACTCCATACAAAACATATACTCTTCCCCTTTCCTCAGTCCCATTTTAGTCTCAATTCAAAACATTACTGATTCTGGTCAGCTCTTGATCTTTGATCCTCTTACTTGAGGAGAAAAGTGGTGATGGCTAAAGCAGCTACCCCTGAAACGAGAGACCCTGAACCTCATTCCCTGCTCCCTTTTAGATTCAGTTTTGACAGCAGGGAACTAGCCTCTCTGAAAAGCTCTCAGGGGTCTCTGCCTCACCCTCCATCAGGCACCAGTTTGTCACAACTTGGCCATTTTCAGCTCGAGTTTCAATGGCACAAATCTCTCCTTCTTAGCTAGATGCAAAGCTGCTTAAGGGCAAACGCCTGTCTTGTATACTCGATGTCCAACAGTCTACTCTCTGGTGGTGAAGAGAAAGATCGGGGTCCCCTTCCTTGAGACAGAGCTCACTCCCTGCATATAATACCCTGGTTTAGCATCGCAAGGAACCCTCCTTAGGTTTCCAAAGAGTGTGTGAGTTTTCTGTGAGCTGGTGGGAAGGGAAGGAGGAAGAGAACAGGTGGTATTGCCATCACCGGCAACCATCATGCCAATGCCGTGCAGTCCCCTTCTTGCCCGAGGGACTCCCAATTTCCCAAGCAGAAGTGCAGGAGAGCGCCTGGGCCTGGGCCGGGGGCGGGAGCGACCTGGAGGAGACAGAAGCCTGTCTCCAATCCAGCAGAGCCGCTTGTGCTGAGAAGTCAAGTGGAGAGAAGGAAATAGAAAGGGAGGCCAGCTGGAGAGCCTGAAGAGGAAGGGGCAAAGCTGGAAAAGAATGGAATAAAGTCCTTTCCAAAGGGCAGAATTATAAGACGACATACAGACAATTACAGAATCTTAGAATTTGGGGGTCCAAACTGCTTTTGGAGCTCAAAGAGCCAAATGCCCTCATTTTATAGCTAGAAACTGAAGCCTGGCTTGTCCCCCAGTTAGGTCCAGTTAAAAAAGCTAAGACTGGCCTTAAAGAAAAGGCAAGCCTCAGAACTCTTTTTCCCTATGTCCCTTTTTATTCCCAGCTCCAAGTAAGGACATGTAGGCCACAATATTCTCCAAGGGAAGTAGACATAGCCCAAGTGGCTGGGAAAAACTGAGAGTGCCGCCAATGAAAAGATGTTACGTCCATGTACAGTGGAGCGGCTCCGGGACCTCTGCTTTCCGGCAGCCTCCAAAAGCATCAGCCATTGTGTAACGATGCCCCAAATTAAGCTGATTAAAAGGAGAGCCATAATGCTCGTCTGTCAGCCTGGACAGGTGGCACTCCACAGCACTGGAGGTCGGGCAAGCCTCCAGCTTCAATGACAACGGCCCCGCCCCTGCCCACGCCCCCCCAGCCTCGGAGCCCTGACAGCAGTGTTTGTGGTCTCCAGCTCCTTACGCAGCCTCCGACTTCCTCTGCTTGCTGGCTCCAGCTCCGGGCCCTGCACCCTCCTCTGCTTCCATGAATGGGCTGACGGAACTCCTACCATTAGCCCTCAGTGTAACTGCATCACTCCATTGTCACCACACACGCACTGCACTCAACATGGAGACAAAGGGCTGAATGAGCCCCAGACCCGCAGCCAACTCAGGCAGAGACAACTTAGGAAACTATCTCATTCTTCCTTTCTTCACAGGCTGTTTGGCTTATTTCCTTGCATACCAAATGAGGGCCAGAGAAAAAATAAGGCAAGCGAGGGGAAGCATCAGCCTCCAAATCTGTCCCTCCCACCCCCCACCCCCAGCTTCCCTTCCACCGACTCATCCCTTAGGTTCCTGACCACAGGCCCCTGTCAAGTCCACAAAGGACTGTCTCAGTAAGATGGGCCTCTGGGATAAGATGTGCTCGGAGGTGCTGGTGCGTCTAGCTAAGGAGGACCAAGACACCATGCCAGGGGCCCTATGAATAGCGTCGTCAAAATCCAGGCTTCTTTCAGTTCCCTGCTGTGTTTTAATAGCTCGCTAACAATCAGGATCATAACATGCCTGGATGAGCATAAGGAAGGGATATCTCGCAATCTTTTCGGGGCTCTATTCTAGAATGTGACAGAGAGCTTTGAGGTAACCTCGGCGGAAGAGGATAAATAGAATGCCCAGTTGACGACAGTCTCTGTCGGTTCTGTTAAATATCTTCCAATAACTTCACACCATCTTTATGGCCTGCTGAGTCTCAGCTCTACTTTTTCATTAGTGAATTAGTAAAACTATGTCATGTGAAAATGAAGTAACTTGCTCTAAGATAAAGTCAGGTAAAACCCTGAGGACCCTGACAAATAATTAATGTTAAGAAATACATAGCTTTCGAAAAGACCTGGAGAGACCAAAGGATTAGAAACGCACTTGACACCCATCTGCCCGCCCTTTGTCCCCCACTCCTTCCTTCCTCTCTTCAGCATCTTTCCCCACTGACTCTGCCAGGGGCTCTGGAGAAAGAGCTGAGGAAAATTGGGTCTTGTTCAAGAGGTTCTATAGACAAGTGAACAGTGAGATAAACGCTGGCACAAGGCACCAGCACGGTGCCCGGGGGAACGGAAGAGGAACCCCGATTCTGCCTGAGGAGAGGTTCACGGGGGAACCAGGACAGTGATTCCCCCTCTCACACTTACCCTTGGCAACGGCAGCCCAGAAGGGGCTCCCCCCGAAAGTCAGAACTGCCTCTCTGGCTGGCGTCTGTTTCAGCAACACTTAGGAGTGGAAGGAAAAAGTCCTTAAAATACACCACCCTCTGAGACTTTTATTCCCTGTAAAACTGTCAGGCTTCTCACTCAGCTTTCTCTTTGGAATGAAGCGTTCCGGTTTATTTTGGCAACCAGAGGGAGCAACAAAGACCAACTTTCTCAGAGCCGAATGGGTCCCTGCTATCAAAGCTATCTGCTGCTGGCCAAAGAGTCAGAGAAACGCGTCCGGCTGTCTCAAGCCCATTAAGGGGACCCTCTTTCAACAGTCTGGCCCCTGACCATCCCTGCACAGAGAACGCCGTAAGCTTCGAGAGACCACAAATAGCAGGTACATGGAACAGGCACCAAGCTGCGGGGACACCAGGGTAAGACATCGGCTCGTCCCAATTCCCACTCAGGGCACCAGAGCCAGAGGGCAGAGTGCGGTACTGTGCGCTGGGCTTCCCCATAGGAGAGCTCAGCACAAACCTGTGGGCATTTCATAGTGTAGCCTGAGGACACTGTATGTATATGTGTACTACATATGTTATATTGTGACAAAATACGCCTAACACACAATTTACCATCATAATCATTTTTAAGTGTACAGCGGCAGTAAGTACATGCAGCCTGTTTGTTGTGCCCCCATCACCCCTCTCCATCTCCGGAACTTTTTCATCAGCGCAAACTGAACCCCACACCCGTTAGACACTAGCTCCCCAGTCCCCCAACCCCAGGCCCTGGTAACCTCTACTCCACTTTCTGTCTCTATTAATTTGACTATTCTAGGTACCTCAGAGACGCCGAATGATACAATATTTGGCTTTGTGTGTCTGGCTTACTGCACTTAGCATGTTTGCAAGGTTCATCCACGTTGTGGCATGGATCAGAACTTCACTTTTTTTTAAGGCTGAATAATATTCCACTGCATGTACACACGCATTTTGTTTTTTCACTCCAAGGGCATTTTCTATCACCACGTTTACTGCGCTGGAAGGCCTGCATTTTACATTAGGCCTGGTAATTGAGTTGATTTCCTACAGCACTTATAGTTCCTATTACTCAGCATTCATTCATGATCGTCTTTTCCTAGGGTTTTAGGTACTTTCCTCTTGATTCTCCCTACAGCTGCTAAGTTCCTTGAAGGCAGGAGCCTCATCTTTTATTTTCCATGCACTACCCACCCACCCCAACTTCTACCATGGTGCCTGGGGTCCGTGCCTTGTTCATCCCTTATGCCTTGCTCACAAGGCAAGTCTGCAACAAGTGGACCTTCAAGAAACACTTCCAGAAATGAATGGAGAGTTAGTGCTTGAAATATACTTCCTGATTCATGAAATGGTAAACGGAGCTCAAAAAGCCAAACTCACCTCCCGCCAAAAGCTAACCCATTCTGAATTCTAATGCTTGTGTGTTTCTTCACTCTGAGCTCCAGCTCTTCAGAAAACACAGGTGATGGATGGGAGGAGACTTAGCACCTGGAAGTTGGGCACACACAGCCTGGCCCAATGCAGCTCAAGACTTTCCACTAAGAACATTCCAAGCAGAGAGTATAACAAGCCTCTGAAGACATGAGGTAAGCTTGGAACGTACTGAGGTCTCAAACCGTTACCTGAAAAGGCGGTATGAATATTATATTCTACTACGCTCATGCTTGTTTTTTAATATTAGGATGTTTAACCCTGGGCCCAGCAGTTGACAAGGAGGCATGTCCTAACATCTCCAGGGACATAGCTGGGATTTATAAGAGGAGACTTCTGAGCTAGTTTTGTATCCATTTAACCCAGTCTGACAGGTGACTTGGACGGACTGGCTACATCGTATCTGAAAAGGGCAAATAGTTTCTCCAGTATGAAATGAGAGACTGGTTTGCAGTCTTGGAAAGCGAGGCACAGCCCAAGCATCTGCGTGGTACCCCAGGAGTGACCTCTGTCCATTTGAAACCAGTAAGGGGTAACAAAAAGATATGGGAGGAAGCTAGAGACTGACGTGGGCAATCAGCCAATCGGGGCAGGACTATAAATATCTGAAAGAGGTTACAATGTCTGGGAGTTAAACTCTTGTCACTGACATTTTTGTCTCTGGGGGTGGTGGGAGGGCTTTGTCTTAAGCTGGTTGGGAGTCCCTGTTTCAAGGCAGCCTTAATAGGAGACATTCAGAAAAGGAAGGAGACCTCGTTTCTATAAATGTTAAGTTCTGTCCAAGATTCATCTCTAGAGGATTCAAAAAGCATTCTTCACCTGAAGCGGCAATGGTGTGTGTGTGTGTGTGTGTGTGTGTGTGTGTGTGTGGTGTCTTTTCAATCTGTATCTTGGAAACCATGTTTTAAAAGCCCATGTTTTGGAGCCAGCATTTTAAAAGCATAGTAAGAACAGTTTCAGAGAAGGACCTGGGTTTGTTCCATCACACCCTTCAACACCTGCCGGCGCCATTTCCTGGAGATGGTCATAAACAGAGGTGGGTGGGTGAGAAAGCCAGCAAGCGGGTGCTTAGGCTCTTCTGTGGTTTCACCTTCTGCTCAGCGTCCCTGGTAGAGGCACTGGCCACAGGCCTGTCAGCCACATTATCCGTTACCTCACTCTGTTCCCACGGCAGGGCATTCAGAATCCCCCTGGAATACCCAGAGGGGCCATCAGGAAGTTCCCCTGCACTTCTGAGCCTCTCCATGGTGACTCAGGAGGGCCTCAGCATGGACACCCCTCTCTCAAGTTGCCTTTAAACTAAAGGGCTTTTTCAAACAAAAAGATCCCAGAGCTGCAGCAAGGGTGGGGTGCAAAGTTCCCAGACCGGGCGTCAGAGCTTCCAGGTTCTAGTCCCAGCTCGGCCACTGCCACTGCCACCACTCTCCCTCCCCTAGCTGGCCACCGTAGCCCTCTGCACCTCCCCGACCTCCCAGAACCACCCTGGCTCAGACCTTTTAAGGACTGCAGTTTCGTACCAGCTGAGTAAGAGTCTCAGTTGACCTTGGTCTGTCTCAAAACCTTTCTTCTAAGGAGCTTCAAATTCTGGCAACCAAAATTACAGCCTCTGGGCCTTCCACAGGGCACTCAGCATGGAAAAATCTACAGCTAATAATAGTGCCTTGAATTTGTACGGCACTTTTATTCTTTTCAAAGTGCTTGTTAATCCATTACCACACTGAACAAAAGGGAAGGGAGAGACAGGCGGGGTGGAGAGGTTTGTCAGGACCCAACACCATTCTCATGGTGGGGCACCTCCTGTATCTCCACTCCCTCCCGGGCAGCAGATCCTTGCTCTGGTTGTCCCTCGTCCTCTCTGTGCCTTCCAGCCTCAGCGTGAGCAGACAAGAAAGCTCAACACCGTGAAGTTGCTGCCTGACGTGTACATACATGGAAATGAAGCGACAATTCAGGCCCACTGGGAAGCCTGTGACATAAAGGAAAACGAGTAACCTCTGCCTTGTATCTGTTTGCCAAGTTTTCTCTATTTTATGGCACACAGACTTGTGAAACCTTAAGAGGAAGCCTCACCTGCTGGATTTTGTACTACCTGGATGTTGATCTTAGAAAATAGAAACCAACAACAAATATGCCTGATACATCATCATCAAACCAACTGTCTGTGTCCCTGAGCTGAGAAGAAAGACGTCTGGTCTTTCACCAAGAATCTGGCTGCCACCTACCACGTCTGTGTTGGTGATCTTGGCCAGCAGCTCTACCAGGGCATCACCAGTGAGTGAGCTGACATCCTCATCCTGCTGGAGCCCACAGATGGCAGCGCCCACACTTCCAGTTGCAATCATCGATGGCGGGTACATGGCGAACTTAAAGTCTGCGAAAACGAGAGGCAGAAGTTTGGTCAGGGCACAGGAAAAGCTGGGATCCAGGAGCTCCCCAGCTAAAGACACTCAGAAATAGGATGGCAGCGGATCAGCTGCACAAGTGACCTTGACCCCAGACACAACCTCTCCTAAGTCTTTCCTTCACTTTTTTTTTTGCCATCAATGTGGCAGCTCCAGATTTCAAATGAGCAGACGGAGGCTGGGAAGGTAAGAGTACACATAGTGAACTCACAGAGGGCTCGGGTCCCCAACCCCTCAGTCCCACAATCCCATGAGGGGTTTTTGGCTCTGGTGGGGCAGGATGAATGAGACACGAGACACGGTCCCCTCTGGGAGTGATGGCAGGAGCACAGTGGGAGGTCTGAGACCAGGGCAGATAACATAACTCAAGGGTTCTAGGTGTTAAGAGGGACAAGTATAAGCTGGTAAAATGTTATGAAAAATAACCGTGATGTGACCGTGCCATTTTCTCTGGACGTGCATCAAGGACTAACATGGGAACAAACAAAAACAAATAATTTTCTTAAAAAAAGGAAACGAAGTGAGAGAAGCAGCAATGGAGGGGATGGGGTGATGGAGGCCAGGGTTCACACAATTCCCCACTTCTGGCCCAAAGCTGAGGGTCCTCAGGACGTGAGGAAGCGCACCATCTAACGAGAGCAGCCATTACCCCCTCATCAGTGGAAGAGTTGGTTTAGATTTTATGGCTCTCAGGCCTGAAAAATCCCCTTTTTTTGCTGAAAAAAAGTGGTTTGAGAGATAGAAGTGTAAAATGAGGGGAAACGTGAGGGGTCCAACCCCTTCCACTTCCATTTCTCCAAGAGCAAACGCAGAGGACGCTCCTGTGCTCAGCTGAACACCTGTTTCCTCTGAGCACTACCCCAAAGGGGCTATGTAGCCCAAAACTGCCACTGCTCTGTCGCTCGAGGGGAGATAAGGACACCCAAACCTTGCTCCTGGTTAACAGTAACCACTACAACATGAACAGTACCTTCTACATTATTTTCCCTTTAATCCGCACTCAGCCATATAAGAAATACACTTATTACCCTAATGTGTGGAGGGCAAACCCAAGACTCAGCATCTAAACTGCCCTTACCCCTGCCTTTTGATATGTTCAAGAGGCTAGCGTTCTGTCACTCATCCTAGTAACAGTCCCGGAGTGTGCTGTCTCTAATGTTAGCATGACTCCAGCGGATTTGCATACATAGAAGTGGAAGGAAGCGGGGTGTGGAGGGAAGGCATGGGTAGCACTTCAACTTACAGCATAAACATTAGGTTGAATCTACAAAGACAGTTCAGCCTTCTTCCTATACAATGTCCAATTACAACACAGCCCACAGAAGCACTTTTATCCGTGATCCCACTCCAGCATCCAGTCAGCAGGGTCCTTAGAAACACTGCCGGATCGCTGAACCGCGCACATCTTGACAGAATCCCACCAACAGAGCGGCCTGGCGGTCTGACGGACTGTCTTTCTCTTTCTCCTTGGCTTTCTTTCTTTAACCCACTCACCATTTCCACCATTTGAGGAACAGGTATGATGATGTTCTGCCCAAAGCCTGCTGTCCACTCACCTCTCCAGTGCCTTCTCCGTCCCCATGGATGGGGACGAAGCCGGACTCCCTGCCTCCTGCTCTGCTGTAGGTCTCTTCCACATGGGGTCACAGGAGTAGTTCTCTGCCCAGTAACCTCATTAGCTTCCCCCTGTGACATTCATAGTGCAGAGGAGGCAGCCAGCCCATGGCCCTGGGCCCACCAAGGCCTGGGTGGGAGCATCTGGCAGCGAAGGGCATCATGAGGGTGTCCCTGGCCTCCCCTCCCTCTGCCCAGGTCTCAGACCAGGAAGCATACCACACACGTGCCTACCTTTGCTGTCCCTCTGCACATAAAACCAACTCCTATTTTATGAAGTGAATTCACTTCTGGAAGCTGTGGGGGAGGGAGGATATATATGGATGGTCCTGGGGTGCAACAGCCACTAGAGTTGCCCAGAGGATCATACCTCCCTTCTTGTTTTGCTAGGAAAATGCTGAGGGGAATCCTCCTAGGGACACTGTTCCATCCCCCAGAATTGGGGGGCACTATGTGCATGAACATGGCTGCCTCTCAGCACTTCAGAGTAGCACAGACTGGGCAGTGTTCCCATGGCAACAGGAGAGGAGCTGCTGGGGGCCAGGCCAGCCATTGCACCGTTCCTCTGCCACCCTGTATGGCAGCGGACCAGTGTCCTCCAGAGCCGTAAGCAACTGCCCAGCTCTCCTCTGCCTAGTCAAACAGGAGACGATAGCACAAAAAAGCCAGGTCCAGACTGTGGGACCTTGGGCAAGTCACTTCCTCCTTCCAAACCTCTGCAATCCTATTTGTCTAATAAGGGGTGGGGTTGGGTCAGCGATTTTTTTTTTTTAAGATTTTTTTATTGGGGAATTGGGGTAAGGGGAACAAACAAGTTGCTGTCGTTTTGCTCTTCAGTCTAGTTGTGGAGGACGCCGCTTCACTGGCCCAAGTTGGCACCATCACCGCGCTCTTCCTGGGCGAGTCAGACCAGCCGCCGGCTTCTGGACGGCTGCTCACTGCGGCTGCTGGCCTCTCACGCTGGCTGCTGGCTACATACGGTAGCCCATGGCAACCCACTGCCACAGGGGCTGCAGCCTACGTCGTCGCCGTCGCCTCACGGCAGCCCAGCTCCAGGTTAAGCTGTTGTTCAGCATCTTAGCTGTGGAGGGCAGTGTCACTGGCCCTCATATGTGGGATCTGAACCGGGGCCCTCTGGCGTCCCAAGCCAGTTCTTAACCATCGCGCCACTCGGCCAGCCCGGGTCAGCGATTTTTCTAACTTCCAGTTGCAACCCATTAATAGGTCATGAAGTCAATTTGTGGGTCATGACCAGCATTTTTTGTTGTTTAATGGAACAGAATAGGATAGAAAGTATCAGGAAGCAGTGCATGGAGTAAGAGTAAGTATCGTTTTGAGAAACTTTTGTATCTGTCTGATGTACATTTATGTGTGTCCTGAGTTGTTATAAAATGTATTTCCTCTTTCATGGTTTAGGTCAAAAAGTTCAAAGACATTAGGCTGGCTGATCTCCCAGGTGCCTTCCAGATCTAATTTGCTTGTACTCAGTGATCTGGAATAAGAATGACTCCCAAGGATAAAAACAAGGAAGAGACAGTATGGCTTCTAGCAGCCAGCAGTCACAAGGCACCTCTGTCCACGTGGCATCAGGGGCTGCCCCAGGACCAACTCAGGTACCCCCCCCCCCACCGCCCCCTGCTCGTAAGGGAAACAGGAGAGAAAAACAACACTAGAATGAAACATCTGAAGGGTCATGTCCTTGTACTAGCTAGTTAGAGAACCCCACACTCACCCCTGGAAAGTTCCACCCATCCCATTCAGTCATTCCTGGAAAACTTCAAACTTTGGCGATGAAACTGGATTGAGAAAAGTTCACGATATCCACTTGGGTGAGGTGGATAGAAAAACACTTATGGGTGCTATAATCAAGATCATAACCTTTCGTAAATATATAAATACATATATACATCTGCATAGGGTGGAACTAGGAGGAGACGCTGAAAGCGTACATAAATTTTCCTACCATTAGGTGGGGGGAATAACATTGTATAAATTTTCTTTTGGTGTTGTTTTACTTTAGCAAATAAAAAAACAAGTGAGGGCCGGCTGAGTGGCACATTGGTTAAGAGCTGACTTGGGATGCCAGAGGGTCCCGGTTTGGAGCCCACAGATGAGGGCCAGTGACACTGCCCTCTACAGCTAAGATGCTGAACAACAGCTCAACCTGGAGCTGGGCTGCCGTGAGTCGCCAGCGACGGTATAGGCTGCAGCCCCTGCTGCAGTGGGTTGCCATGGGCTACCGTGTGTAGCCAGCAGCCAGCGTGAGCGGCCAGCAGCCGCCGTGAGTGGCCATCCAGAAGCTGGCGACTGATCTGCCTCGCCCGGGAAGAGCGCAATGATGGTGCCAACTTGGGCCAGTGAAGCAATGTCCTCCACAACTAGACTGAAGAACAAAACGACAGCAACGTGTCTGTTCCCCTTCCCCCAATTCCCCAGCGCTGTTCCCATCCCCCAATTCCCCAATAAAAACCTTAAAAAAAAAAAAGTGAAAATCTCTCAGAAATCTCTGAGTCTCTCAGTCAAAAAAACACCAAGCAGCTGTATGCTGGGGCAGAAGGCATACTCAGGGTGAGGTTCTCTCTCTTCTCTCAGCTGCCCGCCTGGAAAGGTGAGAGGTCTGTGACTTCCTGAGACCCCTCCTTCTGTAGCAAAGTGAGAAGCAACGAACTGGCCAGTGATCCATTCTGATCGAGTTATCACATGTTCCTCCCTGTTCCAGGCAACATGGATGGTTCCCCCAAAGTGTAAAACAGTGACACGGCACAACATGGTGCATTCTCAAAGCGCATTCTACACTACGTGGATAACTTCTAAAGAAACATTTCAAAGAAAGGCAGTGCTCAAGTGGATACAAGTATTGGAGGCACTTAGGATGGCTCTCCAAAGAGATGGGCAGGATTTAGATAGCAGAGCCAAGAAGCTCCAAGAATTGGAAGGTAGAGTACGTGGAGGCTGATGTCCCACCACCAATAGCTGTGTGACGATGGGCAAGTTCCTGACCTCTCTGAGCCTGTTTTCTCACCTGCAAATGAGGATAATTATTATACCCACCTCACAGGGTGGTTCTGAGGGTTAACTAAAATAATCCACGTAAAAGCACCGTGCGTGGCTCATGATAAGCAGCCTATCAGCCTCCGCCACCACCATCATTGTCGACACCACCACTATTCTTACCCCTGGAACCTCCTGTAGGGTTGTGACAGATTCTGACTGCTGGAGTCTGTTCAGCAGGGGTGAGGAGAAAGGTGCCCAGCATCCTGGGCCTGCAGACAAGATGTTGAGAGCAGGCCAAGCATGCCGGGGCCGGGGAGCATGAGTGCTCTTTGCTGCCTGGAGAATCCTTCACTATTTCACA